TACCACAAAAAGTATCTAAGAGTTTCTTTTTGAATAGCTCAATCTACCCAGACAGGGTATCATTCATTCTTCAGTCCTGAGGGTATGTGGTCTCAGGTTTTGAGCCCCAGATGATGACAAATGGCAGCACAGATTCCTCCCCATTCCTTTGTACCACCTTTCTAAATGAGTGTTAGGTTTCCACAGCTGACCTACTTTTAGCCATCTCAGCCTTTGTTTGAAAGCTGAAAGGCCAGGTTTGGACTTTAAAAGGTTTCAAAACACATCATAAAGAACAGTGAAAAAAATGATGAGGAATGATTTGGTGGTTTTAAATTACAGTGAGTGGGACTTCCTGCACATTTATAAATGGATGGAACGTAATAATCTTGACTCACATCAGAAGCCTACATAACATGCTAGAAATTTCCCAGAGTGGAAAATCTAGTTAGAAGCAATCTAATTGCTTCTAATTAGAAGTAATCATTCAGGCTTTGTATTCTGTGAGTGCCCCCAACAGTGTCAAGTTTATGGATGTCTGACAAATATTGATTGATTGGTTATGTGCGCATGAATGTTAAAGACACAAATTCTCCATGGATTTGTCATTTCTAAGGTTCAAAACAGCAGTTTGTTCTCAATTATAATTCCAGCAAATTCTAAAGCATTTAGTCTTACCCTCATTCCTTCAAAGCGGGATAAGGCTCTCAATGGCCTCAGAGCTCTTAGTGTTCTGAGGGATTTGATGGCACCAAGTTCTGAGTAGCCCAGAGCATTTGCAGTTAAGCTAACCAATGAGACCTAACAGAGAAAGTAACACAATTTTCTTACTTACAGTTAAAAATGCTTACACAATTCAACCTTGCTCCATGCAATAAACCAGTAGTTCTCAAACTTTGCTATCAAAATCACCTGGAAGGCTCATTGCAAACAAATCACTGGCCAAGGTTTGAGGTGGGGCCTGAGAATTTGCATTTTTCAAATTCCCAGGTGAGGCTAATGATAACTGGCCACACTTTGAGACCCACTGCTATAAACTTATGAAAAAGAAGAAGCTATACATGTTCCTTTTTTTCAAGATTCTTGACAAGAAAAATTTAAAAAAATCAAACGTAAAGCAAAGAAAAGAATGACAGAAATGAAATCTTCACCTACAGATTTGTAAACTTTATCATTTCTCATATTATTTATCAGATCTGAAAGAGAAATGAACATTTAGTACAAGTATACCAGTAAACTATGC